AATCGTCTCTGAAAAAAGTCGACAAAAGTTTCAAGGATGCCGGCAGGACGTGGATGCACAGCAGCTATTAGGCCATGATTATGTAATTATGTAATGTGCAGTACGACTGGAGAAGCCAATGCCTGCCGGATAAGCTCCGCCAGGAGCGGCCAGCGCTTGCGCTTCGACACCGAAAGGGTGAACACGGCCAACCTTGCCGAGCAAGACAATGACACCGAAAGGGATTCGAAGGCAGCGCCCAAATGTGCAAAAGATGCAGTGAAGGACACTGAGATGTTGCGAGGTTGCCGGTGACTTGTTTTCAGCAGACTAGCCACTAGCCTTCCCTGGCTTTCCTGCCTCCAAGTCTGACGTCTTGTGGCAAACGGTGCTCCGCTTTCAACTTGCCAGTTCTGTCCCGGAGTGGTTGTAGCTCTCATGTTGGATGGTTTTTGCGGTTTCTACATGAGGGAGGAAGCTCGCACCTCTTTCCCACGTGCTCTCGTAGCTGGATATTCGCGGTTGCGGTCCAGGGAGTTAGAAGGGCTTGTCATGTTTGAACAGTCGTTAGTGCACAGAGTCTTCAATGTTCAGGTTAGGGCGACATACCCCAGAAGGGAACGCTGAAAAGAGCGGGAGCGGGGAGGCCAGCCCTAACATCTTAAAATGTCAAGTAATCAAGTACCGAAATAAAAGACGTGCGCAGTCAATCGACAGACAAACGAACCAACGAACAAACAGCCAACCAACTAATTAAGCAAGCTATCAACCAACCAATCAATCAATCCATTAAGCAAGCTAGCCAGCTAACCAGCCAGCAGCTTGTGAGCGAAGACCAAAGGACGGCCGGGCAGTTTGCAAATGAGCTTGAAGCGCAGAAGGTGAATCACAGCAAGCAAATTGAGGCCACAGTCGGAATGATGGCGAATAAGAAAGCCGGCCTGGACGGTTTTGCTTTCAGTGACTTGAAACAATTGCCACCAGAAGGTTTCTGAGGCTTGGCATGGTTGTACGGTCGTGTTGAACAAAGTGGTCGATGGCCGCAACAGGCGTTGTGGGTGGTTGTTGCATGCTTGCCAAAACATGAGAAAGCTGAACGACCCATAGGTTTAATGTCAGTCTTGTACCGCATTTGGTGCAAAATGCGGAAGCACCTATTGCAGAAATGGCAGCAAGAGGCTGGGGTTGATGCACATTGGGATACAGCTGTCCTTGGGGGTAGTGTTTTTGAAGTGGCGTCCATGCGCCATCTCAAAGCTGAGGCTGTCCGCAGTGTTGACATACACATGTGCACATTCCTTTCTGATCTCCGTCATTTCTATGATGCGGTTGTTTGCATTTGCTTGCCACCAAGGCCTTAGAACTCAGGTTGCCACCACTTCTATTGCATCACCTTTTGTACATGCATCCCAGCCCACGTGTCCTTGTCGCGAAGAGCAGTGTGCGAGCCCATTGCTACCGAAGCGAGGCTTAGTTGCCAGCTGTCCCATACCCACGTGCATGGCCAAAATCTTCTTATGGGACGTAGTTGCGCAGCCTGTCAATCGTCAACTGCCCAGTAGTATCAGTATATGGGTTGATGACTTGGGCATGGATGCTGTCGGTCGCCGTGTTGAGGACACAGCCAAGCGTATGTCAGTCTGCTAGAAGACTTACTCTGAAGCGCTTGTTGAAAACGGGCTTGTGCTTGCCAAAGACAAAGGCTTGAAACAGGAGTTGGAAATGCAACTGAGTCGTGTTAACCCAGACCATCCCCCAATCGTTGATGCTCTGGATGCCACACAGCGATCAAGAGTGCAAAAAGCCCGGCGGAAGATGCTGAAATTGAGTTTTTTGAACGACAAGCCAGACAGCGGTTGTTCCGCATCAACGCCTTGCCCTCCCTTGTTTGGGGACACCAACATCTCGGCATGTCCCCTACCGCCGTTCAGCGACTGAGGGTGCTAGCGGCCAAAGCTTCGGGAGCGTACACTGGGTTGGGTCAGACGTATATTGCCATGAGATTGAGTTGGAAAGTGCATCAGGATCGGATAGTTTTCACTGCCAAACAGCGGCTTGAGCTCTGGTTCAGACTGTACCGCAGCTACCCTGATGACGGCCTGGCGCCGTTACGCATTAGCATGGCTGTAGACCGTTGAGAGATTGCAGCGTGCACCAGCTCGGTGGCAGGTCGTGAAGGGACCCATGGCTGCTTTCATTGCTATCTTGCTTGACCTGGGTTGGACTCTTGCTTGATGCCAGACGCTTGCACCTTCAGGGTTGCTTATGATGATGATACCACCCCTGCAATTGTGTGGGAGAAGCTTGAAGAAACGATTGAAAACTAACAGCGGCGGCAGCTTGCATGTCACACACCTTTTCGAGGGGTTGAGCATGGAGTTGATTTCACAATGCCCAAGAAGATGATGAAGAAGTATCGCGCGACCGGTCAGGATCGCCGAGCCCAAGCCCTTAAACTGGTGCTCCAGGGCCATTTGCATAAAGTTGCCAAGTTGTGTACCGCTTGTCCTCTGTGTGGAGCTGCCATGCATGAGACACATTGGCTTTGGGATTGCAGTGAAGTAAACAAAGTTTTGCAGGAACCCTGGCCACCGGCATGGGAACCGCTTTGCAGACCAGTCAGCCCAACTGCTTTTGGCAGTGTGGACTTGTACCACACCGCCTTACACATAACCTTGGCAACGGGGATCTGGACCTGCATGTTGAAGGAGTCTTTGATCAGCCTTGGCACTTTGACAACCTACCCAGGATGCACTTTGGAGGTGATGCTTCAGGGGGACCCCATAGCAAGAAACCACGTAAGCGGAAGGTGGCCTTTTCCGTGACCGCTGTTCAGTTTGACGAAGCCAGGCAAGCTTGGAATGTTGTTGGCAAACTCACGGCGAACCTCACTGGGAAGTGCCAAACTGTCCCACGAGGTGAAGCGACAGCCTTGTTGTATTGCTTGAAAGCCACTCGCAATTCTGTCAAGTTTGTTACCGATGCCCGATGCATGTGGCATAGATGCGTGTCGATTTTTACTTCACTCTGACTTGTGGAGCAGTGTCAAAGCTCTCGCATGTGAGCAACGGCTCCATGCCAATGCTGTTGCTGATTTGTGGCAATGGGTTGCCAACAGCGAAGCGGACAAACTGTGCACTCACCGTGCTACTGCCCTCATTGATGCAGCCACCGTTGTCATGCAAGACTGGGTGGATACTCGCGTGTCTAGATTCTCAACCACCACGTAGATGTTGTCTTGGCCTTGCAAAGTGATGCCAGATATGCTAAACGGCCGTACAAAGCCAGCAAAGTTCTGCGTGCCACTAAACAGACTTGCTTGGAAGAGGCGCTCAAAGGTAACCCATGTGACGTTGAAGGTGCTCATGTTTGGGATCGAAGTCAGAATGGGATCGAATGTCGGAATTGCGCTTTGCAGATTTCGAAGCACTACACCTTCCGAAGGATGCAACTGCAACTGGATACGCCATGCTTAGCGATAAATTTCGACTTGTTTAGGGACGCTTGGAGCATTCACCTCAGTCATGTTCTGCAGTTGTCTGGCAGAGTTTGGAGGTGTGTTGCTTGTGGCCTCCAAGGACCCTTAAGCAGGAAACTACGCTGGCACAAACCATGTGCTGCAGTGAGAACGAGCATCCGCTAAAGCGGACGGCTACAGTAGAGCACTCGGTTATACCTGCACAGCAGTCCATTGATAGGAAAAAATCACAGCAAAAAGCTCGATTCGTGCACACTGTTATTGTTTTGTTCCGTCCAACACTGCCCTGTTTGTGTTCTTTTCTGTTTGGCCAACGTCTCGTCTGAATTGATGTCACCCGCCTGTGTTGGAGTATTGATGCAAACCCAACATGAAGCGAGTGAGAAAGAGTGCCGACAGCTGGTTTGCACGATGCAGGGCGAATCCAACCTTCGCAGGGTCTTAAGATTCTGCATTGCGAGGATTCGGCACGCGAAGGCTTTGGCGGGCCCATCAGGGCACAGCCAATGCAGGCGACGCGAAATCGTGACGACGAGCGCCTGAGCTGGAGTGGGAAGGATGCCTTGTGCATGGCAGCATGTCTTAACAGAGATCTTTTCAGGCTGAGCTGCCACGTCACTGCCGCCTACATGTCCGTCACGGGATAGAGGCGGAGCCGAGGCCGTTCCGCTTAGCAGCTGGCTGTCGTTTGGTGTTCGAAGACCTGCCAGGAGCTTCGCTGCTCGCATTCCCTTCCAATCCCAATATCCGCGAAGCGGATGATGACCTACAGAGGCCACAGCTTGCGATACATCACATCGCAGCCTGGATTCCATGACCCTCTCGGCAGAGAAATTATCCAATACAGTCTAGTCCAATATACCGTTCATACCGATTCATACTGTCTTATCTCGAAGTTCTTGCGAGGATTTCTGGAGGAAACCTCAGAGCCAGCTCAGCGTGTACAGAAGCTGAGAGTCACCGAAGTACAACTGATGCAGCGATCACACCGGCGCAAGTTTACTTGTCTCAGCATTTTCCATGATACCTAGCTGCAGCCTAGCGCACATCAGCATTCGCAGCATCACCTGCCTCTGGCATCTCGTCCCGCTTATTTGAATGAGACCCCGACGCCAATACTGTGATGTTGATAGCATTTGCTGTGCCTCCGTCGTAGACCACAGATGACCACAGCATGCAGTTCCAGGATTTCTAATGACGGAGACGGCAGACAGCGTGTTGCCGTGTTTTTGCACGGTATGGCAAGTGAGGCTGGGTGGCCATTGTTGATGGTGTTTCAGATTCGAGTGTGCTCAGTCATCTGCAAGACAGTTTGCCTGCGTGGTGAAAGTGTGTTTCACATCAGACAATGTCTCTGGTCCCACGCGGCTCCCATCTTTGTGGCTTGTTGCCTGCCTGTAGCCACAGAGCCTTGATGCAGTGACATGTAGTGTGGGGTGATCACCTCCTTTGTTCCAAGAGAGTCCCAGTTCAATTGCAGCCAGGCAGGGACTCCTTTGAGTCTCGTCATGGTGTAAAGAGCACCAGTCACTGTCCAGGCCCCATGGAGACCCTTGCCGTGGGAACCCTCAACAACCTCCACACTCTCGGAGTGGGAGTTGCGTGTACCGCCTTTGTGATGACTGAGTTGTGCTCGGCTCAGAGATGCAACTTGGACACTCCTTTGCCTCCGTCAGATTCCTTAGATGCAGACTCTCGCGAGGCAAAGGCGATTTGAGTTGACCACCGTCGATCTGAAGTCGCAGCAAAGACGCAGCTTACGGTTCAGCGTTAGCCTGCAGGATATGGCAATGGAGGAATGAGACCCGGACAGAGATGAGCCAGCCGTGTTGAGGCAATCCTTGCGAATCCTCTGCCGGAGTTTGCCAGAAACCTGTGCCTTGGCGGCGACGCTGCTGGTGGCCTTGGCCCTGCGGCTCTTCTCAAACCCAGATCGAAATGTCTCGGCGGATCCAGTGGAAATACAAGTTTGGGCTCCCCGGTTGCAGCATCGCCGGATCACCATGTTGCACCGGCTGCTTGCCCGACTTCAGGAGCAGATCAAGCAGGAGTGGCCCATTCTGATGGGTGCGGACACCCTGTTGGCGGTGCAGGCCATGCTGAGGTCGGGACAAGAAATGGCGAGAGATCTCTGGCGGCAAGCATGCATGTTTTTTCTTTGTTTGCGGCAGGCTCTTGGTGTGGGTGGCAGTGGTTCTCCGCATGTCCCAAGAAACGGATGGATCTCCTTTGGCAGGCCACGGAGGGAAGTCAACGACGGCTCTGTGTTGGTCCACTTGTCAGTGCCAGGAGCTTCGTCGACACTTTACTTGGCAGCAGCTGGAGCACGAAGCCTTCTTTCAGCGCAGACGTCCGCTTATGGTGGCCTGGCTAAGAGAGAGCGGAGCCGTGGGGAACCATGGCACATCACGTCAGAAGGTCTGGACGGACCTCTTGGCGGTTCCTTCGCTGTTTTCTGTGAGGCAACGGGGAACCCAGGGCTGGGCCCAGCTGGTGGCTGTACTCGTAGCTCGTTTGCAGAGGTCACCTCCGGTGTGTGGCTGGCTGCCCTTTGCTCCAAGGTCGGCAGAGGCCCGGAAACCGGAAACCTCTACGCTCTTCTTCTGTGGGTCTGCAATCCGGTCATTGAGGCTTCTCGAATTTTGTGAGGCTCCTGGTGCTCGGGCGCTTTCTTCGCGATGGCGGCCTGGGCAGCGTCGCGTCACTACCTGAACCTCTCCGGAGCCGAGCCGGGAGGCGACTACTCCAATGACAGGCCCGGCCGTGGCTGCGGGGGCTGCCGGGGCTGGAAAGCAACAAGCAGAATGAGCAGCAATCAATGGAGCATATGGAGCAGAGGGCACTGTGGCACACGTATGTTCAGGCTCTTCATCCTGGCGCACTGCCTGGAGTTCTTTGGATCGATGGCATTTTTGGCACGATCTTTCCGCACTGTGGCCGGGGAGCCTGAGTCGATCCAGGCCCAAGCCCTGAACCCGCGCAGGCCCGCAGGCACTTCAGCATCCTGCCTTGTCCTCCAGCCCTGAACTCTGGCTCCAGGGTGTCGACTTCCTGGGACGGCTTTGTGTACTTGCTGCTGGCGGCCCAGCAGGCCTTGCCGGCCTATTACTTTCTGACGGCCTTCGCGCCATGTCAAAGACTCGTGGGCCGGAGACTCAAGATTCTCAAAGACTTCCCAAAGACTCTGAAGAAGGCAATGTTGCAAGTGGCTGAGGTGAAGGTCGACCATTCTGTCTGTTGATCATGGCAAATCTGCTCCAGCTGGCTTTCCTGCTCTGTGCCTTGGCCTTCTACGTGGCTGGCCTACTTGGCGTATCCACAGTCCAGGGAGGCCAGGCAACCCAGATCCATCGTGTCTGAGCGCTTGCGCAAGCTAGCGCAAGCTGCCGCAAGCTTAGCCGCCAATTGCTGAATGCGCTGCATGCCTAAGAAAAGACTGCCTTCATCTAGGTGAGCCGGCAGTGCTGTTGATGGATTCCGGCAAAGGTGCTCTTGGTAAGTGTATGAAGGGCTCCTGCTTGTCTCCGCAGCTTTCGAAGAGGACTTACCACGCGCGACGTACAACCAGAAGCAGCCCTACCCAAAAGCATCGCCGCAATGCATCAGAATGCATCCATGCTCAGTAAGACCTGGACATCGGAGCAGCCCCAATGAGCCATGGGCCCCCCTCGCTGCTGGATGAGAAAACTTCCTGGGCGGAATTCGGAAGGGGCCTCGGAGTTTGGAGTTTGGCCATGGCCATGAAGCGCCGCGCTCGCGGGACGAAGGCAAGCAGCACCTGGATCGACGCCTCACGAAGGCGAGTAGGGTCTGGGCGTCCGACGTCAGAGTGGTGAGTTCTGTCTGACTCCAAGGCACTGACAGACACTCTGCGGCTGCAGAGGCCAACGTAGCGGCCCTCAGGAATCCCTTTGCAGCACTGCTCAACTTCAGTGCGTGCTGGGTGCTTGCTTCGTGGTATCAGCGGGGAAAGGGGGAAGTGTACTGTGTGGGGGCCATCAGGCCTCTGTCTTTGAGTCCTCACCTGTCAGCCGATTGGGAGTCGATGGTTTGGGTGCACGATTTGGTCCAGCTTTGTCGTCTTCAGCAGACAGGCTGTACTGACAGATCCTGACAGGCTTCACGTAGCTTTGATGTAGCATTGTGCGCGGCGAGGCTTGTTCAGTCGCGTGGCATTCCTGTCGCCCTGGAGGGTAAGGACCCGGGGCCATTTGGCCATCCCTTCAGCGTGGAGCTGTTGCAAGCTGCACTCGAAGGACCTGCTCTGTCGTGCACGAACCGGGAGCGGCAAGACTCTGTGCTACGCAATCCCGCTTGTCAGCGACCTGGTTGTGTTCAGAGATATAGGAGTCCACGGGGAGTCCTGAAACTGCTGGCATGTCTGAGGTGCAGCGACTGCTTCAAGAGGTGGAAGCCAAAGGCAAGCGAGGATGTTATGCATCCGGTCCTTCGAATGGTCTTGCTTCCGGTAAGGTTCTGCGACACCTCTGAGTGGTCTCATACTAGTTCCCACCAAGGACAGAGCTTTGTCCGTTAAGAGTCGTGCCGGTTGGCCGAAGCTCCAAGCCTGGCCTTTCGGGCCAACCTTTGCCAGGAGCTCATAGCTCAGGTACACCGCGTTGTGACTTCTTTGCCCGCCGGTCCTGTTTGACGCTGCATGTGCAGTTGTGCATGTGCAGTTGCTCTGCTACTTTTATGCGGCAAGCAGGCTAGGCTTCTGTTTCGATGTTCTCACCGTGGACATCCTCCTCTCGGGTGTTTCGACCTTGGGGCATGGCTGGGGGAGAGCCTCCACTTTCGCAGAAGTCGAACTGCCGAGGACAAGTACAGCAAAGCAGAGCTGCCTGTGATGCCCTTTGGACGCATCTTAACAGATACTGAAGGAGATGAGTGGAGCGCGACATGAGACAATAGTTTTGTGTAGGTCACATTGGCAAGGCCGTTGATCCATACGAAATGTCAAGCGGTCTTAAAACTCCATCCGAAACAAGGGGCTTTCACTCTGAGCTGTCGCCCTGCATGGCTTCGTCTTGGCCATGCTCAGTGTGTGTTGATCCTAGCGGCCCTAACGTGGCAGGTTGGTGACAACACCTTCCTCGCTTCTTGCACTGGTGAAGCAACGTGAGGCAGGATGAATGTCGGATTCGGTTTCAGCGGCCCAGCGGTCTCGTGCTTTCAGGCCAGAGGTGCCATGAAACCGTTGTCAGAGCGGAGCTGGCAAGTTTGTGATCACTTCAAGACGTTATGAAGCAAGTTGCTGCCAGGACACTCAAAGTCTTGATTCTGGACGAGGCTGACCTTATGTTTTCATACGGTTACGAGGAGGATGCCAGCTCCCGAGACAGTGTCATCATCCCCTTCCACCTCAGAGAGCGACAGTTTGCCAAGGTCAAAGCTCTTTGTGCCTTGATGCCACCCAAATACCAGGTCCGCAGTCTTGTTTGTCTTTCTGCACCAAAAGCAAGGCTTGTGCTGGCAGGCGATGCTGGTCTCTGCGACTTTGTCAGAGGAAGTTGAGCAGCTCAAGGCAAGGACTCGTCGCCGCTCTGAGCTGCGAAGGGACGGCATTCTTGTTTCTGGAGGGCCTGATGCTCCACAAGCCGGTCGTCCTCAAGCTGGAGGAGCCGCGCGTGACGGGAAAGCTTACACAGCCGGCGCCCCCAAAGGATGCCTCCAAAGTCATTCTCGAAGTGTGGACTTTGCGTGCATGATCAGGTTTTACTTTGTCTGCCACAAGACCGACAAGTACCTGATCATCTATACGCTGCTGATCCTTGGATCTGCAGAAGAGAGCGTGCCTCGCATTGACCCAACTTGCGACCTTCGTAACGTGGTTTAGCTGCCTGCAGGAAGCTGCAGCTGATACAGGGAAAGACGCCTCGCCCTTAGCCCCTAATCAAGATCGAAGGTTGCGTGAAGACGCAGCGGGCGGCCCATATGCCATACTGCTTTGAGGCTTATTTTCGTGCAGAGCATTGAAGCGGCCTATCGGCTTAAGATCCTGTCCGCTACTCGGAGCCCGGCTGTGCCATCCTGAGCCCTCGAAGTGTCGAGTGGGGGAGGCTGGAGCGCTTCAGCATTAACTCCGCCGTGTTGAACTCCGAGCTACCGCACGCTAGCCGCCTGCAGCTCACCTCGGAGCCCCCGCAGAAGACTCTCTGTGCCGCCCCCGACTCTCTGATCTGAGGTCAGAACATCATCGACTCCTTCAATCAGGGGGCAGTGGAGCTGCTTGTTGCCACTTGACCGGTCTGTATCGCTTCTGCAATGGAAGCACAGGCAGCTGTAAAGTCGCCGTCCAGCATGAAATCCTGAGGCCACTGATGAGGGCCTTGGGGGCAATGAGGACAGAAACTGCAATGCACGCACGTGCAGAGCGAGAGCCGCCGAAGGAAGAAGTGGCCGAGGCCGGACCAGCTTGGCTCCGTTGCTTCCACGGGCTCTGGCTCTTCTCTGGCTCTTGCACTTCGAACGCTGTAGGAGGGCTTACCCAAGTTCGGACAGCTGCAGACCGAAGTTACGAGTGCTTCAAACTACCTAAGCTTTGAGCCCAGGGTGCTCATCAAGCTAAGCGGGCAAAACTGAAGCATAATCTGCAAGGGATGGCAGTGGTGTGTCCCTCCGGCCATGGACTCCTGGCCCAGTGTCGGAGATGAGCTCCGAAGAAACGGGCCCTGATTCAGGGACCGATGCTCGCATCGAGACCGGAGGTGGGTGTGTCTTCGTGTCGGGAGCGGCTCAGCATTTGTCCTTCCAGGATCCATGAGCCTTCGAGGTTTGCGCGGACGCTCAGGGAGTTTGGAGACGAGTCGCTAGTCCCTGAGACGTCGAACTGAAGGCGCTCCAGCTCCGTGTTCAGACGTGTGGCATCGCATGGCATGTGCAGCTGCAAGTGTTGTGTCTCCAGGTAGGGGAGGCCACCGACATGGCCGCTGACAGAGCTGACGGACGTTGGCTGCAATTTCGTCGCTGGGCATCTGTGCTTCCGAGCTCTCAGCGCTGGAGCTTGCGAGTGGGGCTTGGTGACCATCAACGCTTCGGAGCGATGATGTGCCGATGACAGCCGAGACAAGCTTCAGCGTGGCAAGCCGCGTGAATGAGTTCACTGCACAGGCTTCAGCGAATGCGATGCACCCCGGCAGCACTAGACCCGTTCAGAAGACCAACATGGGGGCTTCACTCGCGCTGCCTTAGGTGCGCCTCTGCCTGATCGGTCTTCGTGAGCGAGTTGGCGAGTTGAGCTCTTTCTAGAGTTTAGGACCTGAGCTTCTAGGGCCTGAGTGCACCAGAGCTTTCCCAAACACTTCGGGCATTCGCCAAACTGCAAGCAAGAGGCTCTTAGCTCCCTTGCTCAGAGTCTTTGGAATCCGTAGCCTCAGCTGCAATTGCACTCTCGCCGACAGAGCCTGCAAGCTTGGCGTGGGCAGCCGCAGCAGCTCGCTTGGGTTCCAGCGAGAAGCTGTTGGAGACCATCGCTGGCACCGCCATCTGCACTCTGCAACAATCCCGTGCGCGCAATCCTGCAAACGCCTCTTGGGCTTCCGCGGTTATGCGATCTGAACACCGGCCCTTCCTCGCGGCAGTGGCATCACAGACGACTTCGAGCATTGCTGATTTCGGAGTTCAGAGCGTTTCCAACACGTCATGAAGGCCTGCCCGCTTGAACGCTTTCGGCATCCCCTTGGCAGCAGCTGCTTCGATGCGGGCGTCGCAGCTGCTTGGAGGGCTCAACGTGCAGAACACAACAAACACACTCTGGACATTCGCTGCTGTGGTACATTGGGATGCAGCGTTGCTGCAGGGTATCTCCAAAGAAGTGATTGTGAAAATGAACGAGATTGATTCACGGAGCCCTGGAAACATCGCTCGATGGTTCGCGCGCCTGCTGGCTCATGGCACGCTGCCTCTGCAAGCATCAGGCGGTCGGGCTTTGGCTTACGTTCGAACGGAGTTCGCAGCTCAGAGCACTTCGAACTCCGTTCGGACATTTGCGCAGCCCAAGCTTTCAGGCCAGAGATTTTTCTCTGCCATGGGCGAGCTTGGCACCAGGTGCGACTTTGATGCGCAGGGGACTACGAACACATTGTGGGCTCACGGCACTTGCAACGTCTTATTTCTGTCGTTGGTGGCAGCGCTGAGAGAACAAGCCCAACAGAAGCTTCCCACGCTTGCAGCGCAGAACCTCAGCAACATGGTTTGAAGATCGGCACGACCGCAAGTTTAAGGGAGGGCACCGGCATATGCTACCGCACGCTGCACAGTTGCGAAGCGCGCAGAGCCCAGACCGCAGAATTTGGCGAACAGATTCCGAGGTTCCAGCAAGTCAGGCACTCGAGGTGTGGCTTCGTTTGAATCAACGAGAGGCTGTGCGCTAAAGCTCATGAAGGTCGAATCCAGCTGCCAGGATCCTTCCAACGGTGCTTGAGCTTTCGCAGCACTCCGAACGGAGCGCATGCCACTCTCGCACGTGCTCGGATCAATCTGCCTCAAGTCCATGCCTGAGCCTGATCATCAGAACCTGGCAGGCACCGCACGGGCCTTCGGCCTCTCAGATTCGCAGGGCGCCAGACTTCTCACAGCAACTGCGTCCACTTCAGCCGCCCGGCTGGGGGACTTTGGGCCACTGAGCCTGGTGAGCCTCGCGTTGGCTTCCGCAAGGACAACCTGGCGTGGCGAGGCGCTGCTGCAAGCGACTGCGGCGAGAGCTTCAGCAAAAGCGCAGCAGCCCAGCCCGCAGGGCTTGGGGAACCTGGCGTGGGGAATGGCAACAGCTCTTGTTCCCGACAAGTCCTCTTTGGAAGTCTTGGCTTTCGAGGCGAGGACAAGCGCTCGAAGAGAGAGAGAGAGAGAGATATAGAAGTAGCCATTTTGGCTCAAGCCGCGAGTGGTTCGAGCCCCCGGCCCGTAGCTGAGAGTAACTAATCCGAAGGGGGAGCAGCCAAACTGATCCGAGAGAGAGGGGCCAGGCTGCTAGAGGTGAGCCATTCATCGTGCAGGGGAACCTTGCAAAACTACGCGTCTTCTTCTCCCGCGCCGAGCGCAAGGACATCGGCACGGGCACACCTGAACGTGAAGTCTGCGCTGACCGTCGGGGACTTTGACAAACCTCATCGCTGGCGTGATCGGCGAAACTTTGCACCGCCTTTGACCTGGTTGCGAGTCGCCGGGAGCTGAAGGGGTCGCAAAGAACAAGCAGGTTGTGCAACGTGATCCTATCTTCACCTCAAGGAGAATGATATCTTCGAGCTCTGCCGGTTCGGGGGAAGCGGCCCCTGCTGCAGGGGGGACGGGAGCTCCGCCACAGACAAGCCCCAAGCGAGCCCGTGAAGTCCAGGAGGACGAGGGGGCGACTGAACGCGCGGGGACCCCCCTGACCCTTGCCCTTCTCCAACAAGCCCTGCAGGTGAACCAACAGCAGATCACTGATAGCATTCAGGAATCGATTGCAGGGATCGGACATCGTGTTGCCCAGGTGGAAGCCAACATGGGGGAACATGTGAAACGCACCACGGAACTCCTGGATGCCATGACCGACCGCCATGTTCACATCGAGCAGACAGTGAACCGTGTGGCCTCAGGGCATGCCGAGCTTTCTCGGCGCCTTGAACTCCTCGAGGGAAAGTTTGCCACTGCGACCTTTTCTACTGCAAGCACCACCCGCACAGACGGGAGTACAGACCCCAACCCGCGACCTGCCATCGTGGTGGGTGGTTGGGATAACGACCAAAGCGGGGACGAGACACTATGCCTCGTGAAGCAGCACTTAGAAGACTTGCAGTGCAACTTGGATCTTCAGGACGCCTTCGTCCCAGGCATTCGTCGTGGTTTCGCTATTGTGCCCATCGCTCCCCGACCCCAAGAAGACGTTCCTGATTACCGTCGTCGTGTCAGGGAAGCCCTTCAAAAAATCCGTGAGGCAAAGATCATCACTGGGGAAAAGCCCCAGGGCGGGGAACGCTACCTCTGGGCGGCCATGAGCGAAAGCCCAGAACGACGCAAGCGAGCTCAGTTCGCGGGGAAGATCAAGCGCCTCGTGCTCGAGGAATCCGGGGACAAAAGCCAACTGGAGGTCGAGTTCGGGACTG